CATATGTTTCGTGCAAGAGATGAATAAATTATGAATAATAAGAAACTGTTTATGCATTAGTGTTTATTTGTCAGGTTAGTATCTTCGATATTTTAGTACTTTCGTTAACTACAAGTTGTCACTGTTTATTTTTACATTGACATTGCCTCTGTGTTCGTATTTTGCTTTCCTATGTATACATCAAAATTGCAATTTCGTCGTACAAATAGATCAACTGATACTATTATTAATGTTTCTTTTGTACTCTTTTTTTTTTCTTTTTTTTGTCATAATGATTATTCTTATTGTTTGTTATTCAATGAAAGAAGCATACAATTTTTATACATATATAGATTTCATTCTATTTGGGTAACTCTGTCCAGTTTTATATATACTTTATATTTTTTGTCTATAATGTCTCCTTCTACTTTACATTCAATCTTCCGTGATCTCTTGTACAAATCGTTAATGTACAAAATTATACTATTTGCACGTATAATACGTTTAATATCTTTGATTACATTAATTGAGATTTTCTAATTTCTGATTTCAATTTTCCTTTAAAAAAGATCAATCTATCTTGTTTTAATATCTTTTGTTTTTACATAGATTTTATCTCAAGTGAGCCTGATAATTAATGCAGAACCACTTTCTTTGCTTTCCACATTTTGTTTGCATAATAAAAACAAACAAAGATGAGCTGCGTTCGTTGCTGCTTAACCAGTGCCAGCCGCATTGCATCTTCAAATCATATGGCAAATCATGGTTAGTAGACAATCTATACTACATTTGAAAACTATGTATTAGCGATTGTTTAGTCTGGCTTAAATATAAATGATTATTTCTTTCTGTATTAGTTCACAAAATCGTAAGAGTAGCTGTGATTAGATCGTTGACGGTTGGTGCCACTTTGGGAAAAGCACCCTCCGAACCTACTCCACCTGGTAAAGATACTAATAGTGGTGCGTCATCCACTGGAAATGGCGGTGGGAAGAAAAATACTCTTACATGTCCAAAATGTGGTGATCCTTGTACACACGTAGAAACTTTTGTGTGTAAGTGAATAATACTTGAATGGTTTTCTGCATGAGATAACTAACTATAGAGATGATCTAGAGTTATCTATGGTATAAAAACATATTTTTGGTCAGCATCGACAAGGTTTGTCAAGTGCGAGAAATGTCATCACTTTTTCGTCGTTCTATCGGAGGTAGATTCAAAAAGAAGCCTTAAAGAAGCTTTAAGGCCAGATGATACAAAACAAGGATTTTATAGGAAACCACCACCACCACCAAAGAAGGTAATGATTTTATATGATAGTATATTATAGGCTAGTATTATTATTCTAAACAGCAGAGAACTTTGTATATTATTGTACAATAAGTTATTATGACAGGTATTAATATGTATCGGTATTTTCAGATTTTTGAGTACCTAAACAAACATGTTGTAGGTCAAGAATATGCTAAAAAAGTTTTGAGCGTCGCTGTTTATAATCACTACAAACGAATCTATAATAACTTCCCAGTGCAGAATTCAATGCAAGGTTCTATTAATGCAAGTGGTACACAAGATTTGAATCATTCCTTCACTCATAGAGGTCTTAAACCACGTAAATAATAGTTTCCCCATTTTGTACATAATCCAATATAGAAATATGATATAACACGTCCGACTGAGAATAATTAAATAATATTCAGTTCTAGATAGATTTTATACTAATAAATAATGGTGTAAATAACATTGTTTCTAGTCTAATCAACCAAACATTTATTTGTGTACGTAGATATTTCATTTAACGAATGACATTCATTCTTCGTTATACCGTAGACTTACTACATATTTCAACTATTGGAAATTCGCTTGGCGTTGGATTCCAGCAATATCCTACAGGAAACGAGTATAAATCAACAGAAAATCAATCAGTCTCTGGATCTGATATCCTTGATAGTAAACAACATCAATTGAAGTTGGAGAAAAGTAACATCTTGTTACTTGGCCCAACTGGTAGCGGGAAAACGTTGCTCGCTCAAACAATAGCTCAATGTCTCGATGTACCTTTTGCTATTTGCGATTGCACGACGCTGACACAAGCAGGGTACGTTGGTGAAGATATAGAAAGCGTTATCGCAAAATTGCTTCAGGATGCAAATTACGTAGTGGACAGAGCGCAAATGGGTATCGTATTCTTAGATGAAGTTGATAAAATTGGCGCTGTTCCCGGCATACATCAACTGCGAGACGTTGGCGGAGAAGGTGTACAGCAGGGAATGTTAAAAATGTTAGAGGGTACGATTGTGAACGTACCGGAAAGAAATAGCTCTAGAAAATTACGCGGTGATACATTACAAATCGATACTACGAATATTTTATTTGTTGCTTCCGGCGCGTACAATGGATTAGATAGATTGATTTTGCGACGTAAAACTGAAAAGTATCTTGGATTTGGTGCATCGCCGTCTTCTGAGAGTCCAGGAAGAAGAGCTGCGAATTTAGCAGACGTCGCAAACATGTCACCCTCTACAGAAAGAGATAACAAAGAGAAGGATTTGCTGTTACAACAAGTCGAAGCAAGAGATTTAATTGATTTTGGTATGATTCCTGAATTTGTTGGCAGATTTCCAGTCCTGGTACCATTTCATACCCTCGACAGAGATATGCTTGTTAGAATACTGACCGAACCTCAAAATGCCATGGTGCCTCAATATCAAATGTTATTCTCAATGGACAAGGTACAAATTAAATCGTTTCGTCGTGCTACTTACAATCAGATTTGCTCAACGCATATACGTATACGTAATTTAAGATTCACGAGTTGTTTACATATATATGTATATGTGTTTACAGGTAGAATTGACGTTCACCACGGAGGCTTTAAACGCGATAGCGTCATTAGCAATGGAGAAGAAAACTGGCGCAAGAGGGCTGCGAGCTATCATGGAATCACTGCTTCTGGAGCCCATGTTCGAAGTGCCAGGTAGCGATGTAATGTCAGTCCACGTAACTGAAGGATGTGTACGAGGACAAGAAAAAGCACAGTACATTAGAAGAGGTGATGTCACCGAGGAGGAATTACACGCTCAGCATATACACAATTAACATATAATTCATATTAAGAACCTGCCACACATCTGATCGATTTCTTGAAAAAATTGTTCAAAACTATATCTTACGATAATAGTTTTCAATCTAACACAAATTTGTGAATAATATGTGTTCATTATAATCTATGTTTCTTTAACAAAACAAGATTATGCCACATGGATAACATTAAGGAGAAGAAAGAACAAAATGCAAATAACACTAGGAGATTATGCAATTATAATTATTCTGTATTAATTTGTACCGCATGCAGTACGAATGCAGATAAAACAAATCGATTGTGGTATGCAATTTACTCTGTGTTCAAGCAATTCGTAACAATATCGACAAGTTTGTTATTGAATTATTTCTAGATACACGCGCCTACACACAAATTTTCACTTATAAAAGTGAACGGAAATTTTATCGTGATTTTAGTAGATTGAGATCATATAAATTAAAAGCAAAAGATACTCGGACTGCTATTACTATTATGCAAAAATAAATTTAACGTAATATTTTAGCGTTTTACAATTATGATATCTACGCGTCTGTTCTACATATTATTGTAACGCAGATAGAAAACGCAATTAGTGGATATAACATCTGTTAATATTTAGGTATTGTACAATATTGTGTAATATATACAATGTAAATGATTCACGCATATATATTACATTATAGTTACTAAAATATGCAAAACAATTACAACTATACGATCAAGATTACACGAAGCTAGTACAAATTCATCATATATTGTTACACACATATAAATACACATCTTGTTGGAACTGAAAAATTGTATGAAATAGACTTGACTCTCTTTCATTTTGAGATTATCTTTAAATAATTAAAACACTTTGAACAAGAATTTAGGAAACAGGTTTTTTATGGAATATTAAATCATATTAAACAAACTATGTTTAAGTTTTAAAGTTGAGAGTAAATAATATTTTAAATATATATATATATATATATAGGTTATATATATATATATATAACCTATATATATATATATATATATTTAAAATATTATTTACTCTCAACTTTAAAACTTAAACATAGTTTGTTTAATATGATTTAATATTCCATAAAAAACCTGTTTCCTAAATTCTTGTTCAAAGTGTTTTAATTATTTAAAGATAATCTCAAAATGAAAGAGAGTCAAGTCTATTTCATACAATTTTTCAGTTCCAACAAGATGTGTATTTATATGTGTGTAACAATATATGATGAATTTGTACTAGCTTCGTGTAATCTTGATCGTATAGTTGTAATTGTTTTGCATATTTTAGTAACTATAATGTAATATATATGCGTGAATCATTTACATTGTATATATTACACAATATTGTACAATACCTAAATATTAACAGATGTTATATCCACTAATTGCGTTTTCTATCTGCGTTACAATAATATGTAGAACAGACGCGTAGATATCATAATTGTAAAACGCTAAAATATTACGTTAAATTTATTTTTGCATAATAGTAATAGCAGTCCGAGTATCTTTTGCTTTTAATTTATATGATCTCAATCTACTAAAATCACGATAAAATTTCCGTTCACTTTTATAAGTGAAAATTTGTGTGTAGGCGCGTGTATCTAGAAATAATTCAATAACAAACTTGTCGATATTGTTACGAATTGCTTGAACACAGAGTAAATTGCATACCACAATCGATTTGTTTTATCTGCATTCGTACTGCATGCGGTACAAATTAATACAGAATAATTATAATTGCATAATCTCCTAGTGTTATTTGCATTTTGTTCTTTCTTCTCCTTAATGTTATCCATGTGGCATAATCTTGTTTTGTTAAAGAAACATAGATTATAATGAACACATATTATTCACAAATTTGTGTTATATATATATATATATATATATATATAACGACAGAGAGAGAGAGATCATCAATTTTGATAACGTATCGGATAAAATGGGAGAGAAATTAAGATTTCTAAAAACTGTATGTACTTTCTGAAGATTTAGAATTATTAAGCATTAATTAGCGATAGATATATATATTCTCGTCGATTGTTTCATTTTATTTTACATATATGAGAACTAGGTGTAAATAAAAGGCTGTGTGATATATGATGCAAGTTAAAAAATGATTGTACACATATAAAATTGTTGTATGAAACAAATGTTGAAAGTAAATGCTGTGTGATATTAGTTTTCAGAATGTCGATACGCTTATTTTTCCACTGTTAAGAGCTAAAAATAATAACGAAATGGTACAATATTTCCCACAGCTAGCATAGTTTCATAACTTGCATCTCTACAGTGTTTTCAATACTTATAACGTAAGTATTTTAAGGGAAATGAATCATTCTAAAAAGTTCGTGAAATAAATATACTTTTTGCATGTATACGTCTATGAAATATCACAATAATTCAATTCTAAAATTCTTTTATTCCTCGTTGATATATATATTTAAGTATCATAAATTACACGTACAGAATAGTTTGGAAATTTTATTCGCTTGATTATTCCATAATGAATCAAAAGATATTAAAATGTTCAAAATTACTGAAAGCATTAAATTATTGATCTAATTTTGGCAATAACAAAAGAAGAGAATAACCAACTCACTACAGTGTAGCAATTTCATGCCTATGCATGTATAAGTATAGTACAGTCTATATAATAACATAAAAGGTAATACTAAAGTTGATGCTGTTTTACATGTTGTTGTAGTACCAATGTGGAGCGGGCTCTCGTGTATTGATGGGCTCTCGTGATTTTGGTTTTGGTCTTAGTACTGTTCGTAATTCTGTGAAAGCCCATTTAATAACCCGCACTATTATAACATTTACTGTAAATTCTAACATAAGAGCACCAAATCCTTTGTATAGACCAAGGGGTCCCTCGGTAGATATAATCGTACTGTAACAGTCGCTTGCACTGCTATATCCTGTCAATAGCGGTGTCACGCTACGACCTGTATCCAAGTTGTCGATGATGGTTCGCGTACCTTGAAGATGAAGTCTATGAATCACCGTTTCCCAAGGATAAAACAATGCTTCTGCCAGGAACGTAGAAACTAATGACGACTGTAATTCTATATCTTGTGTAACAGTCTCTGACAGCAAGTCTCTGCTATATGCACCCTTGACAAGACATACAAATAACATTCAGTGCATATAATTTAACGAATTCGATACTTACTTCAAAGTAAATATTTTCTTAAATTATCATCAATATATAAGACTCACTCTTAACTCTTGAGACTGCTTTTGTCTAATATGCATAATACGACTAGTAACTCCTTGAACAGCTAGAGTGAAAAGATATTTAGATACTCCATAAGCAATTGTTGGCGGTAGAAGAGAATAAATGGGAATTAGTCTGCCTTTGTTGCTCACTTCAACTAAACGAATTGCACCATCTCGAAAAACATCCAGTATGCCAGGGCTTTCAGATGCAATTTCAGATTGTACCGTCTCTACTAATGATGCAGAATAGAATGGTGCTACTAAACCTAAAGAAATACTATCATATCTTCTATTAATTTCGTGTTACGAATTTATACCAAAGAACATTTGACATATACTAATATATTATTACCATTTAAGAAGGATATGTTGTCCAAATGCTTTCAGTGAACTATTACATGTTATTTCTCTGAAATTAATAAATATTTCATTATCATTTATTATTATTATTATTATTATTATCATCATCATCATCATCATCAACATCATGTATTTAGCATTATGAAAATAAAGAAGAAACTATCATTTATTCTCATTAGAAACTGAAAAATAAGCATTTATTGTATATATAAGGATCACCTTACTTTGGCCATGGTGTTATTTTAGAAATGAAATCTTCGATAGCTAACAACATCCCTTTTACAAGCAGCACCGATCCAATTCCTTTCCATAATGTATTTATTCCTTGAGTTTGATGGAGACGTATGACCACAGGTACCAAAGTGACTGGTATTATATGATATTTGCTCAATCCAGGATTTACTTGGCACTGCCGTCTTAGAACAATAAGGGGATGAACTAATAAAGTTTCTGTAATTAAGGTTGCTAATCCACAACTAGCTACCATATATTTCTTTACGGTAAGATCTGAAATACAAAGTTTCAGATTAAAGTCTCTTTATTCACGCAAAACAATAACAGAACTTTTGCTATATTTCAATAGATTTTACGCATAAATATACTTATTTCAATAAAACTGACCTCCTTCGGAAGGTGGATTATCTTCGACTAGAGGATGCACAACAGGAACATCTAAAGGACGAATAACGTCTTGTCCATGGTAAATATATGGAAAATTATTTCCAGTTTCCCAAGATTTAGACACAGGTTTCCCACGATACACTCTTTCGTAACTTTCCAATCCCGCCATCGTTTAGGAAAGTAATTTTTTAAGCATTATAACTGTACATTTTCTGAATAGTCCTAAAACTATATACATATATATATAAATATATATAATTCGTTCAACTTGTCGCTTTCTTCGATTACAAAAAGACGTCCATCTGTATCTATATCACTTCCGCTTAAAAAGTTGAGAGTTGGGATGTATGCAGATACATGTTATGATATATCCACTACAGTGATCAACGCGCAGCACAACGACGCAACCTACCATGACATAAGGAAACAAATATGATTGTCCAATCCAACCACAATCCAACTATATATATTCGCTCGCAAGCAGTCTAAACGACAATTAAAGGAAACACACGATAATATAGATAGAACCACAAATGAATAAACCTAAAGATTTTTACTAATTATTATAAAATATACGTTGCATTAGATACTGATATAGGTTGCATCAGGTACAGATAGATCAAATCGTAGAGCTTTAATACTTACACAACACATTTATTCTTATTAGTTCTACCGTAATCGAACTAACACTTATTGGAAATTTCAAATATATAATTGCCATAAATCTTCTACTTTCCATAAATTAAAACGCAGTTATAACATGATCAACAAATTGGAAACGAATATAATAAGATAGCTTAGCTGAGAGTAGGTAAAGCACAAAGGAGAAGTTATTATCAAAAAGTATCATGCCAGTGATGGAGTTTTCTGAATCTTTATTAGGTAGAATAAAACACTTTAATAAAATTAAAATCACACACGCACACACACACACGCGCGCGCGCGCGCGCGCACACACACATATACTATTCTCCTATAAAGAAATAATGGAATTTTACATTATGCAACAATGCGTTATGTAGTAAGGGCACCGTTCCCACCAATTTATCAAGATTCTCACGAGAATGGAAAAAAGTTTGAAATAATATCAAAATCGCAATTTAAAAAGGCACAAAGTATTTGGGCAAGAAAAGAATATAAGAATGAAGACAAGCGAAAGAAGTTATTAGAGGATGAAGAAAAAAGATTGAAAAACTTGGAAGAAGCTAAAACAATTGTAATTCAAGAAGATAGTACTCTGTCATCTGCAATTTATGTAAAGATTCGAGACAGTATCAATCATCGGGACAGACGAGTAAAACTTTCCGGTACATAGGCTTAGACGGCAAGGTATAATATATATTTGTGAGCTAAATTTTGAATTATATATCTAATTTGTATCTATTAATTCAACATTATTATTTTACATTCTTTTTTTTCTAGGAAGATCTTCTAGGAAGAAAAGGGTTATAATGACATTAGTGAAAACTCAGGTCGAAAGTTAAGCAGCGCCGGGCACGGATAGTACATGGATGGGTGATCGCCTGGGAACTTTGTGTGGCGTTGGCGAAGCGCGCTGGGTCCGTCGCGCCCTCCGGTAGGGTTCTCGGGCTTGGACGCTGGCGGCTCAGCGCCTCGGGGCCGCCAAGCAGTCCGGTAGGGGGGAATCGGGCTGCCTAGCATGGGCGGCTCCGGTGTCCGAATCCTGATTTTAAAATACCATATAAACCATTCAAAAGGATGGATTACAAGGATGCGATCGAGTATCTTCGAATTAACAATATAACTAAAGATGATGGAACATTCTATGAGTTTGGCGAAGTACACTGAACAAAATTATCTGATTATTGTTTCGCTACAAAATTTGTATTCCTCGTTTTATTCATGTGTTCATAAGAAAAAGGAGGAAAAGAAATAGTAATATTTTTCATCCATAGGATATTCCAGAAATGTCAGATAGAAAAATGACCGATGCAATAAATGAACCGATAATGTTGTGTAGATTTTCTGCAGAAATCGAGTCATTTTATATGCAACGTTGCGCCGATGACAAACGTTTTACAGAATCGGTGAATGTACTATTACCGTATATTGGTGAGATAGTTGGAGCTTCGATGCGTATTTCGGACTATGATGAACCGTTGGAAGGCTATTCTCTTGCGAACATAGACACAAAACTATATTATTGGTATACCGGTCAGGTAGGTATCATTGATTCTATTTGTAATGACATCATTTTCTATCAGTCTTCTTTCAGCGAAAATACGGAACTTGCCCCGATGGCGGATTTGGATTAGGTCTTGAAAGATTTTTATGTTGGCTTTTAAATAGATTTCACGTACGCGATGCATGTCTTTATCCATGTTTCTTGGAACGTTGTCGACCTTAGATTTCACGAGCATAATTATACTCATATGTATGTGTATCGAGATGAACGAATTCACAATTATTAGTAGGTAAATTATTGAGAGCTTCCAAAAATTTAATCACGACGGAATTATTGAAAAATGAAAAGTCTCGGTAGTCAGAAGTAAACCAAGATCCAAGCATTTGTTTGTTATTTTATTTACCAATTTGTGATTTTATGTTTGAACACTTTATCGCATTGAATGTCTATGCGTATAATGGAAAAGTTTCTCGATGGACAATCACGTATGTGAAACTTTTACCTTCATGAGTGAAATCAAATACGTTACGATAAATACGTTAAAGAGTCAGGAACATGAGAAGGAAATACATGTTTTTGATGAAATTATATTTCACAAATACTTTCGTTTCGACAACGCGTAACTTATAATACATACGCATAGGATAGTTATAAATAGGTTTTTGACATTCTTCTTTCACTTTTTCTTTTTCTTTCTTTCTTTACTTAGTCCCGTTAGATTTTTCGATTCTCTTCTTTCTTAAATACTTCATATCGTATATACAAATCATACGACGAATATTAACTGTTCTATTTCGCATGTATTTTCATTATGTCAATTTACATACTTATAGAATAATACGTAATTTAATATTTTTGTTAAATATTTTTTTTACACGAGAGAAACTTTCAAAAATGTATTTCGCCACAGAGTAGGAAAGTACGGAAACGATTGTGTGTTATGACAGAACTCAGAACATTAATCACACAATACCAAGTTGCGAATGTAGAAACAACATAATACATGTACGTTTGATACTTATTATGAACAATTTAATTAGGTTCACTTTTGCTTGATTTTTCTAATATTTTATGCGCTTTTATACGATGGTATAGAGATATAGTATGTTCTATACAGAAACGACAATTAGTGCGATATTCAAATGGCTGGAAAATGGAGAAAACAAAATGAAACATCATTTGGATATGCGCAAACGTGTTTGTTGGAGTTCGTGAGTAATGAAATAACGTATTGCAAACAAAAATACTTCGTTCTACCTCCAATAAGCAAGCGACAGAGGATATAGCGAGATTTTAGTTGTAAATAAATTGGAATATCAACGAAAATGCTCTCAACGACTACTTTATCCTTTTAAAGCTTTGAATATATCCATGTTTATAATAATTTGATAATTATAGTTTCTATTTTCTCTCCCTCTTTTCTTTTTTTTTTATCCAAAGTTTACTATTTCAAGGCGCTCAGTCCTTCTTTAAACGACTAATTGCAAGAGGGATCGAAATAAGAAGTTAACAAGATACGTTTCCACATATTCGATAATTACATACGTTTAGTTTACTAGTTTGTAACCGATTTATGGCTTATTGTTAAAATATTTTGCCAGTAGAACATCACTACGTTTTCGGACTACTTTAGTATAAAGTATGTACGACGCAATCGCGTTCCGGTAGCTGACGAACTTTCATAGATCCATCTGCGCCACATGAAAATAAACGGCCGGCAGAATCGACGTGTAATTGTGTTACACCCTGAAAGAAAATTGTCGATATTATAATTTATTTGTCAAAAGTTACGTAATTAATGTAAACAATATTGATGAGCATACTTGTCCGATGTTTTTAAAGAAACTAGATCGCGGATGCTCTCCAGGAAAAGAGTAAAGCAGAGAATGGACGGTTAAACCCCATATCTGATCGAAAACAGTTAATACAAATTATAATGTATGTTGGTATTTCTATTTTTGCATACTGCAAATATTATCACCTTAATATCACCATCTCCCGCTCCACTCACGAAAAATTCTTCATGCGGATCAAGGGCTAAGCATTTTATAGCCGACTCGTGAGCCTGAAAGCGATGCCGTTGTTGCCGTTGTCGAACGTCAAATATGTTAATATCACCTTTCTTCCCACCGCTGATTAATAGCTGATGTTGGGGTGCAAGTATCAACGAGCTAGCTCCTTGTTCGTGACACGTGAAACCTAATAGAAACGTAAAGAGACAAACAGGTTTTCTGTGATCATTACGCGATTCACATACTCATGCAAAGAAGACGAGGGCGAGACGCACCTTGAATGAGAGATTTATTCTGTGGAAGTAAAGTATCCCAAAGCGCAACATTACGTCCTTCAGAACCATGACCGGCAGTTGCGATTAAGCTGCACGCACCAAGGAAGACAAAATCGGCCGTCACCTTGCTATGGCACTGATAATTCTGCCAGAACGAATTATTCTTAATTACTTGAAATTTATTCCTATACTTGTATGGCGAGCAAGACAGATATTTAGATAGATCGATAGATCGGTAAATAGACAGACAGGCAGAGAGAGAGAGAGAGAGAGAGAGAGAGAGAGAGAGAGAGAGAGAGAGAGAGAGAGAGAGAGAGAGAGAGAGAGAGAGAGAGAGAGAGAGAGAGAGAGAGAGAGAGAGAGAGAGAGAGAGAGAGAGAGAGAGAGAGAGAGAGAGAGAGAGAGAGAGAGAGAGAGAGAGAGAGAGAGAGAGAGAGAGAGAGAGAGAGAGAGAGAGAGAGAGAGAGAGAGAGAGAGAGAGAGAGAGAGAGAGAGAGAGAGAGAGAGAGAGAGAGAGAGAGAGAGAGAGAGAGAGAGAGAGAGAGAGAGAGAGAGAGAGAGAGAGAGAGAGAGAGAGAGAGAGAGAGAGAGAGAGAGAGAGAGAGAGAGAGAGAGAGAGAGAGAGAGAGAGAGAGAGAGAGAGAGAGAGAGAGAGAGAGAGAGAGAGAGAGAGAGAGAGAGAGAGAGAGAGAGAGAGAGAGAGAGAGAGAGAGAGAGAGAGAGAGAGAGAGAGAGAGAGAGAGAGAGAGAGAGAGAGAGAGAGAGAGAGATGAGAGAGAGATCAGTCTTACAAAAAATGGTCGTGCAGTTCCTTCTCTACAGGCTACTTGAAACAAACTTAGATGTCCATCAGAATCCGCAACGCCGAACTTATTCCCGTGTTGTGAGAAACGTACACGAGTCACTTTGGCAAAAGTGCCCGGTGGTCGAGGAGTCGCTACAGCCGTTTGATGCCCCCATTCCCACAGGGATACTGAACCATCTTGAGAGCCAGTCAAGTCTGTTTATTCGAATATCGACAAACGTCGGTCGATGAACAGGTCCAACAGCATCGGCAAAATATTTCATCGATTAGAGTTTCGTACAAAGTTGTCGTTGACATATCAAGCAACACATTTCATTCGCAATTACTCGGAAGTAAATACATAGTATGCTTACATAATGGTAAAAGCGGATGCGAGGAAATTCTTCTTATGCCATCGATTTTATGCTTCAGGATCTGTATGAACAAAATATTGTTATGTAAATAATGATCTTATAATTAGAGAGAAAACAATGATTCACAAACAGTACGCACATATACAAATATTTTTTAGGAAATAAAAGAAAAAGAAGTGGAAAATCTAACCTAACGTCTATAAACTTTGGCGCACACGTATCAGAATATGACAAAAGATAATATAGAAAACGGTAAATGGGCGTTCAATACTAATATGTATAGATGATATACTATAAAACTTATTAAATATTTTATATATATATATATATTTCTTATATATTTAGTTATATATATATACAATCAGCCTGGTTATACGTTTTATGCCATCAAGTTCTTTAATATTGTTCCTTTTTCCTTGCCAATTCGAAAGAAGTTAAAACCTAAAATGAAACGATCGCTTTTTCGACAGTTTCGTATATGTATATACATATATACATCGAAGGCTCATCAAAAGAAGCGTATCAAATAACACATATTACGTGTTAAGACGTATATACTTTCTTATTTTTCTTATTTTTCTTATTTCTTATTTCATTCGATTCGGGCGATGTATTTGTTTAAAAAGCGTTCGTTTAGTTCAATCCAACGAGGGTCGTATCTATTGGATCCACTAGGTTTCAAACGTTCTCTGCATTATTTGATTAATATGTATTTCCCGGTTAAACGCGTAAAGATGAGCGTATCCGAGTAATTAGCAAGAACTCTTTGAAGAGCTCTAAAGGACAACGAAGGAACCAGAAAGATCGTGACAACCGCAAATTATAAAAGTGAAAGCTAGCGGACCCATGGTCTAGGATTCGGATGAAAATGCTCGATCTCTTGTTCAAAATGTGTAAAGAATCTGAAGGAAAGCACAATAACTTATTAAATACTACAGACGACATTCAAGACAATGGCAACCAAAGGGCACAAATTTTTCGCTCAGGTTTTTATGTACGAAATAAATATTCATTAGGCATGCAGTGTTACGAAAGAAAAGTTTGTGAATCGGAAAGTTTCATCGATTGGCTTTGCTCATTTACAGTTAATTCACAATATTGTTTTGGTAACATATGAAAAGTACGTTAGTATCGAGATTGCCTTGGGAGAAGGAACATTCATGTTCTTAAAAATTCGCGAGGCGTCTTCGATTGATTGAAAACCCGCGGTCATGTATAACAGCTTAACGAACTATTTCATTCGCTGTAAAATAATCTACTGTACTGTAAAATGATGATGATGATGACGATGATGATGATGATGATGATGATGATGATGCTAATGATGATAATGATGACGATGATGATGATGATGATGATGATGATGACAGGGTAGTAGTGGCAATGGTGTTGAAAACGGTACTGGTAGTGGTAGTGATGGAAGTGACGATTATAAAGATGAAGCTAATAATGACAATAATGGCGATGAAAATGATAACAACGTTGGTAAAAATTTAACAGTCACGATAATAACGATAACAATACTAAAATAGCAGATTAATTTCCACTTACACGTATCGATATGCATACGTATAATATTAAGTAAATTGTCTTGAACATTATCGATTCGAAAAAGAAATCATAGTGACAAGTTAGATATGTATATACATATACAAATTTTTCAAGAAAATTATTGTTTTGTAGATCGATATAAAAATTATGTTTAGTTTTATTACGAAGGAAATGCTAAACACTTTATATATAGTTAGAGCTTTTACTGTGATTCTACGCGAATAGCTATTGTTTGTGAAACATAACGATTCGTAAAAACGATGGTAAATCCAATATATTTAATATTGTACGAATTTTTAGAACGCTTAGGATATTACGAAGAAACAGAAAACTAGAGCAAAAAGGAAAACGAGAGTAAAGGAATTAGAATATAAAGTTGGCACTAGGGATAATAATAGGATATCATACAGGCTAGGATCTGTTAGAAGTTAATCTCACCGGTTGCAACAAGTGTTTGCTCCTATCGGCAACAAATTGACAGAAACGCAGGTCGTGGGAGCCAGGGAAAGCGGGCATCCCCTTCATCTGAGCGAACGAACGAGCCACCAGGTCAGTGACGTCAGTCAGACGTAAACCAAGTTAGACGTTAGGCAAGCATTGAACAAGGAACATTGTTTCTGTCACCAAATGTGCTACTTAGACGCGACCCAATGCGTCGGCTACATACTCGACATCAACACATTTACGGCTATCGACACTTCCCTCTTACGAATTGTTATTACTTTCCTCTGCTCGATTTCCATTCATTTTCCGCTATATCGTATCTACTCTCGCCTCTACTCTCATCGCTCATTCTTAAACGCCCTTAATTCTTAAACAACTTTGATATTTGTGCTCATATTGCCTGTGATATATCGCAAGAAGTAAATCTCGAGATAGCCGTGCTCCAACCGCGTGTTTTTCAAGAAAGGTGATTTATAGTGCAATTTTCTTTACATATCATGCAACGATCAGTTCCTTTCAACCTTTTAAAGAACAGGGGGCCTATTATATTTTTTATACCTACGGTTATAACTTGAACTTATTTGGATCACGAGTCTCGTTCGTCCAACATTTCTGATCAAATTAATTTAATGATATTATGAACATTAACTAAGCGTTAGAATTCGCTGCTTACTTATGTAAACTTATGAACGCAATAAATACGATAGTGTATAATGTCGTTAATAGTATCGACATACGAGATCTCATAAGCAAACGATTAGATCCAAACATTCGAACGGTAAATACATACATATATACGTTCGTAAGTAGTGCGTGTCAAACACATTCATAGATACGGTTTTTACTCGTCAAATACAAGCTTTACTTTATTTTATCAAGACAAAGAGAAAACAAACATTAAGGAAAATATATCAGGCTGATTTTCTGTTTGAATCCGGAAATACATTTTCTTATTTTCAGGTTTTGAACGTTGAAAATATGCAGTTCATTGGCAATTTCAATTTTTCGAAAAGAGAAGAAAAATTGCGTATAAAATTGTACATTTGGCTGGAGATTCGAATTTTTCATTTATTAATCGACAAAGTGCTCTTGCATAGAAATCCTAAGTAAAAACAAAAACGAAAATGGAAACGCAAATAAAAACGAAATAAAGATATTTATAGAAAATGAAACCAACGAAATTACAAGTTCGATTTTCTCAATTTCTTTCGTAATGCCATTTATCGCTCAATTTTTCATTAACCCAAACATTCCTGACGCGATAAAACGTTACAATAATACAGACTCGTTACTTCCTTTCTCTTCCTTTCTTCCTTTCTTCCTTTCTTCCTTTCACTTCGACCAAACATATGAATATATACACATGGAAAACAGAAACATCGGATAGTAGATCAGAAACATCTGGGTTAAGTCCAAGTAGGAATACAACACACGTAAAGGTGTAAACGTTTTATAAGACAAACATACGACTGTACAATGCTGAATATAGAAATATACGAATTATCCGTTTGTCATAATTGTGATCTTGGGGGAAACTTACCACGCTAGCTCCTCTTCCGCTTTGACTCGCGATACCCGACTGAGGTTGAGAATTATTTGTCTGCGGACTTTGAGCGAGTAACGGTCTATCTGCTGCTGTCTGCAAACGAAAAATTGAAAGGTGTATACGTATATGCGGACATGTGTGCAATACACACAAAATGAGAGCCAGCATTATCGACGAGAAAACATATTACTATAAACTATTTACTTGAATAACTAAGAAACTAGTTGGTTGCACTGGTTCCGGTTCTGGCTGTTTGTTTAAATTTATGATGTCAAATTCACATTCGTCTTCTAACCAGGATGGGAGTTCGAGCAATAGCGATATATTCATTTCTTGTACTTCTCGGGGAGTTGCCAAGGCCATTAAACCTGGATTCACCTGAATCGTTAACGCTGTGTATCAGCAACGTTTGTCTTCCCCAAAATCGCGTCACTTTTAAACGTAACTTTTAAAAATAGACCGATCGAACCTGATTGAGGCAAAAGGCACTAATGCTATCTTGTTCCTTGTGAATAATTCGGACTGGTTCGGGCAAACTCGTAGTACCGCTATCGCTACCTTTGTCATCTGCGGTTGACCCACGATTCAAATTATCCATCGCAGTTTGATTGCTTTCCAAAATCGACGACAGAGATCTACGTTTGCCGAATACGGCTCGGATAAATATGTCTTGTACCAACTCTTGTCGAACTAAATAGGACCACAATCGATTAGCGGGAGCCGCTGATGCCAAACGCGTACTAAAAATATAAAAAATAAAACATCCATAAATTGTTACATCAGACAATTCCAACTATTGCTTTTGCTATTGAATTTGCAATCTTACTTGAAAGGAGTATTGCTTTTTTCAAGTAAAGATCGATATTTATGAATCGCTGGCTTTCCCGGTGTAGGTGCCGGATCTGGTGCACAACCAGGAATGTAATTAATCGGTGGTGGTCCTCTATTGTCTAATTCATCGCGCAATGTTTCTTGCCATTGTGCCACAACAGCTAACGTTCCATGAATCAGAGGACTATTCACAGGTAATTCTGTATATATATATATATATGCGAATAAGGCAAAAAATTATATTATCCTTTAGTTCCAGAATGACAGAGTAAACTAGTAGATCGTCAAATTCTCGATATTCTCTATCAAATAACAAAACAAAATACCTTGCATCTCTATGCCAGCAACATTCAAAAACTCCTGCAGTTGCTGTTGTAATATCTTCACTATGGCTAATCGCATAACACACCAACTGTACGAATTTGGATTCGTATGTTCCGTATTGTCCTTTGGTTTGTTCTTTGGTTTTGAATTGGTATCGAATATATCTTCCTCGTCCTCGGACGAGTTCAAATCCGACACTGCCGAATCGGATGAATCATAGTCGATTTCATCCGCATACTCGCTATCTATCTGTGGCTGTATCAAATACAGGAAACAACTTTTATTCTTATAATTATCAGATTATATAAAATTAGCAAAATCATATATACGTGGAACGCAGCTAGCTACTGGTACGCATTAGGATATCCGCAGTCGATTAACTCGACTAACCTTCATTAAAAAGTACGATATCATGCTCATTTGAGGTGAAACAAATTGCTCTCTATATGTAGGTTTGTCTTCTTTCATATTTGGTTGTTGACCTGTAAATTGACCCAACAATTTCATGTTCAATTTTACACGTTGTTTAGTCAATGAGGTCATGGTATTCCATACGGTTCCTGCGGTACTTTGAGCTTCGTTCGAACCACTATCACCTCTTTCTACCGTTCTTCCTACTCCACTCGCCTGAACAGAGATTAGATGTATGTATGTATATATATATGTATGTATGTGTGTGTATATATATATGTATATATGTATGTATGTATGTGTATATAATATATATATATATATGTATATAATATGTATATAATATATATACATATATATATATATGTATGTATATATATATATATACATATTACATATTACATATATATATATATATATATATTCTTTATATATTCTTTATATATATATATGTCGGGTTAAGATCGGAATTTTGGGCGCGTGACAACTCTTCGCGTGGACTAGCCATCGTTTCACAAAGCCGAGATTATATGTACACGTATATACAAGCCTATCACTAAGCTTAACAAATAATCAAGTCTAATGAATGATAAATTTGATGAACAATAAAGTTAATGAATAATATGATTTAATGTACACTATTAATGAATAATGAATTTAATGTACACTATTAACAATGTTTTTGTTGGGTTCAAACGAATCCACGGCCAACGAGATAACTCTTTACTAAGCGTAAAGAATAATCTTAGGCGCAAAATACGATTGACGAAACTGCTCGATGTGTCACTCTCCAAGGCAATCGCACGAATGCCAGCCTCGTCTGCAATTCGATACGCACTCGTTAGAAGCATCAAAAAGTTCCGAACGCCGTTGCTAGTCAGTTTCTGCCTGGAGTTTGGTTATTGATATAATGTACATGTCCCATTGTTTCGACACTAGAGAATGTACTAGAATGTACTAGAGAATGTTCCCAAAATTTCCAAGGAAAGGCTTCGGCTTTCCTTTCATCTCCGACATATATATATATATATATATATTTATCTATTTATTTATACACAATGATATGCTATACAATCGGTATCGCTTAAAATCGTATAATTTACGCGTCTCAGTTGTTTGCATCTCTACTCTTTTCTTTCCTTTTCTTTTTAGAAAACTCGAAACCTACACCGATTCGTAGAAAGCTATATATAAAGACATGTGGTTTATTTCTTTGCTTGATATGTAGCAAAGATATAATAAGAGATATAATACGAGTACTTGGTACATCAGAAAAGTATACAACGAAATAAGGCAAAAATAAAGTAAAAACAAAGTTATACCTGGCTGCTTGTACTTGCGACACGTAGCAATTTCTTGACTCCACCTCCAAAC